TTTTTTCTCTCATGGAAGAAATAAATAAATACGTATAAAAAAATAAAAAGAGGACTTAAGTCATATATTCCATGTTTGTTGGCACACAGCATGATACTGGATTTCAGGATCAATTTCCTTCAGTCATTCCTGACTAAGGTTGAGTCCGAGGAGCTCATTTATGGGGAAGGGGTTGACAGAACAGCTTCAGATGGAGACCAGGAACCACTTGTTGAGAACAGCTTCCAAGGCTGGAACCAGGCCAAGGGTGACAAGCTCTACTGGCTAAAACTGTGTCAAGGGGTCAGACTGGAAGGGAGGACCCAGATGGAGAGTGACCTAGAGGAACTCCATGTGAGCGACCTTCTCCATCCTGGCTCTTCAAGGCTGTGGAGAGCTCCCCTTTTGTTCTCTCTGAGATGCCATTAAAAGGGTAGCCTTTCTTTCTGTTCCATCAGAATATGATATTCTGATCCCTATGGTTATGATTTCTTTCTTTTTTTCTTTTTCTTTTTTTTGAGAGGTTTTTGCTATAGGGCACGTGTGCTCACCAGACAGACAGACAGAGAGACAGAAAGCGAGAAATCGCCCCCGGGGGGGCGGGATGGCCACGCCACAATCCCTTCTCCTCCATTCTCCTCTCGGGATTTTGGGCATGCACACACACGCGCCCGGCGTGAGTTTTAGGCCACTGGGTCCGGGACATGAACCGCGGTCGGCTACATGGAAGTCAACGTAGCCATTACACTAACTGCTGGTCCCTGTTATGATTTCTTTTTTAAATAAGTATTTTTGGTATCAAGGCTGAATGGAGGTGCAATGGTGAAATGTGAGGCCAGCTGAGGCTGGGGGTGGATCATAACATCGAGACTCTGGGGATGTCTCTCTCTCTCTCTGACTCATATCTCAGAAGCATTTCATACCATGACTCAACTAATTTGCCCTGAGGACTCTTCTTCTGTTTTAGGTGGTCTGCAACATGTTGGACATTGAAGGATTCAGCAAATCAGTGCAGAGGCAACAGCATATGGAATAGAGCCCTCAGGTATTAGAACGGAACTCAAGGCAGTAAAAATTTAGAAATCGTCATTTAGCCACAAAAACATGAGTCACAGAACATGCCAGTGTCATGTTTTGTGCTGACTAACAAGAGGAAACACCACACTGACCACAGTATCATTGCACTTCCTTCTGCACCAGTGTGTCCACACCTGACATATCAAATCTGCAGAGGACTACAAACCCAGCAAAACCCTGGTACCATAAAGGTCATCATCAGCCCTCAGGAGGCTGGGCCACATTTGCCTGCAGCCATTAGATGGACCTACCTTTCAAAAATAGACATGTTTTTGCACTCTTGAAACTACTTATTTTCTTACTCTTTGTCACAGCCAGCCTAGTTTAAGCTGATGGTAAAAAGAGGTTTTGGAGGTTTTCCACCACAAGGTTATTTAAAGTTCTTTGAGCTGCCGCCAGACCTTCATTTAGCATTTTAATAAACTTCCTGGGCCAAGGAGTAATTTTCCTGTATCCTCTTTGTCCTCAGCATGAAGTAATAGTATAAAAGAGGGTCATCATTTTTAGGCCAGTCATCTGCATCAATTATAAAATTATCCTTATGAATAACCAGATATAAGGTCTGGGATGTAGGAAAAGGGGAGCAGGTTTCTTTTTGTGATTAACATGAAATGAAAAAGGGGGGTCATAGACACATCAAGGATTTAAGAAAGTGCCAACAGAAACATTTTTTACGCAGATGGTTAGAAAGGACATTTAAAAAACTGCACATACAGTCAAGTTATAGCAAGATAACTAGAATTAAATTGCCTAAACATTTGCTTACTGTGGTGTCCTTATCTGAGCCTCTCTAAAGGCAGAAGTACCAATAGACTCACATGTTTACATGGTGATATGGAAATCAGCCTCCAAGACAGTTCGTTGTAAGGATCCCCAGAGAATTTTTTGGAACCGGCATCTCTGGGTGCAGCGTGATGTCACTTTTCAGTGTTTCTAGGCATTAGGCCAAAACTCAGTTTCAGGAAAATAATTACAAAAATGTTTAAATAATTTGCATGAGGTTTGTGAAAGCAATGGAAAGGCTGCCGGTTCCATTCCCAAAGGAGATTTCAAGACACAATCAATGTTAGGCCGCAAAACACTGTTTAGACAGAATAATTATCAGCCCTTTTCCTTCTCTTTCATTATTAAACTGAGGCCTATTCCCTCAGAGAGTTTCACCTGGCATGCGGAAATCCTGTTGTTGCTAAGTTCCCTTCATGGAAGCTCAAATAAGCTAAGTGGATTCACGGTTTACTGAACTGGCTTGTTCATGGACATTAGGAGACATGAAGTTGCCTCTGTACCATGATTAGCTTTTTTGTTTCTCCTCATGTTACCATCAAGTATGATAGAATTACAAAGAATGGTTTGAAACTATGTAGCTAGTGCTTTGAAAACATGTTGCACTACTAAGATTGTTTCATTAATTGTTGACTCCTTAAAACAACTGGAAGAACCCTAAGTTCTTCATCAGAATAATGCAAAGAGGGATGCAGGTGAGGGAGGGGTGTTAGAATCACATAAGGACAGGAAGAGTGCAGTCTTATTTAAATCGCATTAGAGCCATCAATGCCCAAACTACAATACAGTTATTTCTTTAGGGAACTACTTAAAGTGTTATTTGAATTGAATCAAAGTTATTTTTACAAAGATTCTTGAGAGGCATGATCTGATATAAAGAGACATGACTACCTTTCATGTATTTTATTGATTTTGATAGTTCAGAAATGGAAACATTGAATAAATGGTACTGTCAGAGTAAAAACAAAAACAATTTTACTACTGTTCCCTTACCACACATACCACATTCTACATCCACTGTTCAAACCTACACACACACACACACACACACACACACACACACACACGCACATACACATACACATACACACACACACACACACACACACACACACACACACACACAAGTTGAGTATCTCTGAAATGCTTGGGACCAGAAGTATCTCAGACCATATTTTTTTTCCAGAAAATATTGTTCATATGCATAAAAAACATTTATGACTATTTCAGGATTTTTTCATATACATAAAGATCTATCTTGAGGATGGGACCCAAGTCTAAACATGAAATTTATTTGTTTCATGTGTGCCTTATACATATAGCCTGAAGATAATTTTACACAATATTCTTGTATTGCAGTGGTTAACTAATACCCTTCATGTAAGGTCAAGTGTGAAATTTTCCACTGTGGTATCATGTTAGCACTCAAAAAATTTCAAATTATGGAGCATTTCAGATTTTGGATTAGAGATGCTTGACCTGTGTATACACTTATAATGTATATTAGATGTATATATGTACACTTACATACACAGGCATATTAGAAGTAGATATATATTCTTAGCTAACAAAATATCTTTTAAATGTTTTTTGGGACTTTATTTTCTTCTTTCATGAGAGAGAAACAAGTACACTTGATGGGACCTTGTCACATCACAAGCTTCCCCACAGCCTCCCAGCCAGGCAGGATCATGGGTGTGCTTAGTGTGTTCAGGTTGATCTGGGATCCAAACTGAGACCTTCCTATATGGCTTCACTACTGCACACCAGCTCCTAGGCGCCTTTGCCTCTGTGACTGAGACTTGGATGCTTTTAATCATAAAAAATAGTTTAGATCAGGGGTTAGCCAGTGGCATGGTAGTTGAGACAGCTGGATCCCATGAGGCTAACTGCTTGGTTTGAGTACTGGAACCAGTGGCTTGAAAAACACTCCAGGTGTATGTGCATGCATGTCCATAAATCCCGAGAGAAGAAGGGACTGCTGAGTGGCCATCCTCTCTGGAGGGATGCTTCTCAGTTTCTTTTTCTCTGGCAAGCGCATGTGCCCTTATAGCAAAAACAAACAAACAAAAGAGACAGAGAGAGCATCCTTCAATGGGGTGTAGTCATGCTGCAAATCCCTTCTCCTCCATCTGTCCATCTGTCAATATTTTGGGCACACGAGCACAGACACACAGCATGTTTTCAAGCTTTGGAGGCTGGAATTCAAACCATGTAGTCAGTCATGTAAGATCCAGCTCCCTTAACCATGAGGCTCCAGGGCCGGCCCTTGAAACCAATTTGAAGTTAGTGTCTTCTCCTACTTGAGGCCTCCTGTGGGAAATGGAGAGAAGTTGGCTGCTTTTCTCTTTACCTTCTCTTCTCTGCCACTCAACTGTGATTTCTAACCTTCTAGAGTTGGGATGGTGGTGAGAGAGAAAACAGGAGTAAGGTAACAAAGGTTTACCTGACTGGTACATACTTGATTTGTGTTGGTGCTCTTCAGACTTGGGGGAGATTATAAGT